ATGGGGCTTGGAGCAACTTGGGATGGTGGAAGGTGTCCCTGCCCGTGGCAGTGGGGTGGAACAAGATGGTCTTTAAGGCCCCTCCCAACCCAAGCCATCCTATGATTTTTGTTGAAAACCCAAAGCTTTGTTTTCTGTTCATACCTGATGTCCTCGGGAGCCTTTCCTGCCCCAACTTCCCTCATCTCCCCCAGGGACCTCGGTGAGAGTTTTCAACCCTCAGGGCCCTCACTTGGGAATATTCACTGTCCAGCACAAAGGAAAGGGGTGGGTTTAACCCCTTGTGCTGCATCCTGAGCACCTACACCTGACCCTGAGCGTGTCCTGCTCCTTGAGAGGGACCTGTTTGGGGAGAAACAGCTTTTTGTTCTTTGGGAAAGAACAGGGACAGGCTTTGGGGCTCGACCTCCTGTTCATCCTGTGTTTGCTGGTTGCCCACAGCTGGTTCCAGTCGATTTTCACCCGTGTGAATTGAACATAAAACACAAACTGAGCTCCTGTTACTGTGTGAAACTAAACTTGGGTGAAACTCTGGTCCCAGGGAATCCAGCTGGCCCTTTAAAACGGGACAGGCAGCAATTCCAGCCCTTCCTGTGCAGGGTCAGGCAGGGAACAAAGTGCTCCTGGGTGGCCCTGGGGCAGGGGAGTGACACCCCCAGATGTGCTTCCCCTCAGATGAAGCTGATGATGATGATGACCCCGAGTACAACTTCCTGGAGGATCTGGACGAGCCGGACACGGAGGATTTCAGGAACGACCGTGCCGTGAGGATCACCAGTGAGTTCCTGGGGAATCCCTGGGGAATCCTGGGGAATCCCCCCCTCCTGGCTCCTAGTTCACCCGGGGAAGGGTTTTGTTGCGAGGATTTCTGCAGTGGAGGGTGATTAAAATCTGCAGCTTTTGGCTTTGTGGGAGCTTCACCCCACGGCAAAGCCCGAGCAGCAATGTTTGGGTGGTGATAATAAACCTGGAAGCTTCAGCCAGTTCAGGCTTGAATTAAATTTTCTCTTAAGTCCTCTCAGTCTTCAACTTACTTTATAAAGATACCACTTTCCACCTTTGCAGCAAAGCACAGTTCCTTCGGGTGTTATTACAGGTTAACATAACTTTGAATTCAGTTGTGAAAACGAGGGTTTATATTGTGGTTTTGAATCCAAACAATCTCAGTGAAGTATTTTTGGCCCAGAATTAAAAAGGGAATTATCAGGGGCCTTTCCTGTTTGGTCCTCTCTGCTAGAGGAGGGTTTGCCTTTGTGAGGGAAATTCCTTAGATGACTTAATATCATGACAGGATTGCTGAGTGTTTCTCAGAAGAGGAGGAATATTCACACTTCTTTTTGATTTTTGCTTGCAGAAAAGGAAGTGAATGAACTGATGGAGGAGCTGTTTGAGACAGTGAGTGATGGGCTGAGGGAAAGAGCTGTTGGATGTGACATGAGATGAGGGGAGGCACCAAGGGGTGGGCTCTGGGGAGGCCACAGCAGGGTCAGTTTAGGCTTGGGATCATCTGCAGGAACTCCCTGAAGTGCCTGCAGAGGTGGATGTCTGTGCTGAGAGGCTTCTCCTGAGCTTTATTAGCTGAAGGCAGTGGGAATGTGTTCCCTGGCTGTTCCCCCCTGGACTGTGGCTCCCTGTTCTCTGCAGTTCCAGGACGAGATGGGTTTCTCCCACATGGAAGACGAAGGCCCCGAGGACGAAGACGCTGTCACCGAGTCCAGGCCGAGCTTTAACACCCCCCAGGCCCTCAGGTGGGAGCCTTTGGTTGTGGGGGAAAAGAGAGGAGCTGCCCGGGCAGCTCAGAGAGCTCTGGGATGTTTTAATTTGTGGGATTGGGCGTGGGGCTGCCTGGGCAGCTCAGAGAGCTCTGAGACGTTTTTATTTGTGGGCTTGGACACGGATTGGACACTTGACCCTCTTTTTTCCGGGTGCCACGTTTAACTTTGCTGGTTGTGATGCATCTGGAGGAGGTGACAGTGGTGACAACGTGTCCTTTCAGAGAGAGACACGTTCAGAAGAGTGTCTGCACTCAAACACTGGTGCTGCCTGTTCTGCAAACAGCCAAGGCCTCTCAGAGTGGTGACGGTTCCCAACAAGGCAGGAGGATTCTGTCCCTGCTTCTTCACCTCTGTGCTGAACAGAGAGTCACAGAATGGTTTGGGTTGGGAGGAACCTAAAGGATCAACTAATTCCACCCCCTGCCATGGGCAGGGACACCTTCCACTAGCCCAGGTTGCTCCAACCTGGCCTTGGGACACTTCCAGGGATGGGGAATCCATAATTCCCTGGGCAACCTGTGCCAGGGCCCCCCCAGCCTGGCAGGGAAGGGTTTCTTTGTAACATCCAGTCTGAATCTTCATCTTCTTAAAGGGGAGGGTGAGGTTCTCTTGCTGCCCTGGTGGGTTTGGGGTGGCAAGGGAGGGACACCTGAGGGTTTGACCTTCAGCTGGAGTGAATAACTTGGGTGTAATGTTGGCCCTTCCATGGAAAACGGGGCCTGGGACAGCTCAGGGCTGGGAATGAAGTGACTCTAAAGGTTGGAAATTGGCTTTTGATGATTTTTGGGTTGTGTTCAACAGCACCTTGAAGAGGAGAGGGGCTAAAGCAGCTCCATCCCTGGGCTGGACGGGGCTTGGAGCAACCTGCTCTAGAGGGAGGTGGAATGAGAGGAGCTTTGAGTCCCTTCCCACCCAAACCATTCCACGATTTCTTTCTGGGTGATGACAATTCCTCTGTATTTGCCAGCTGCAGGCCCTGGAAAAGGAGGGGCTGCAGGAGCAGTGGGGTCTCCTTATTTATGGGGCAGAGCAGCTCGAGGTGCAGCTGTGTCTGTTTGGGAAGGGAGCTAAAGTGAAGGCTGGAGTTCCTGGATGCTCCCTCTGGGATGAGCAGTGCCAGAGGGGAGCTCAGCAACTGTAAAACCAGCTACAGGCTGAAAAGCCAGGCAGCTTTATTCCCTCTTTTATTATTTTTATGCATTTGGGTTTGATTTTTATGCATTTGGGCGTTTTATTAGTTTTCCCTTAGTGGGCAGTTCTGCAGTTGTTTCTTCCCTGGTTTTCTTTGCCCACAGGATTTTCAGATGTCCCATAAAACATCTTTATTTGCCGGGTTTGTTGTTGTTTTTAAGATACCCTGCATTAGGAGCATCAGTTGACTTACAACTGACTTCAGGCCTGTTAGGGAAGGGAGGGTGATAACCAACAGAAATCAGGGTATTAACTGGTGTAGCTAAAATAAAATAGATAAAAATGAAATCATAAGTAAAGCAGGGCATGGCTGAAACTGTTTTTGAAAGGGTGGTGGCAAATAAATCCTCTTTTCTGCTACTTGTTGTGGGGTCTCTAGCAGAGTCCTCTGCATAAGGTTGGGTAGTAATTTATTTGTTTGTTTTTTTTTTAATAAAGTGACAGCTTTTGGAGCAGCCTGAGGTCTTTCTGGAGACCCTCCAGGTGATAAAATGCCCCCCAAAAATACCTTGAGGAGACGATCAGCAGTGCAGGGGTGGGTCAGAAGACTTACCCAGTGTAAATAACTGGGTGTTTTTCAAATTGGGGAGTGTTTGAGGAGCACAGTGAATGAACTGTGATGAATCCCAGATAGAGCAGAATATTCTGGATCAGTGGGAAGGGGTTTGAAACCCTTGGTTTGTTGTATTTTGCTCTCCCTGGCTGCAAACAGGTTCGAGGAGCCTCTGGCCAACCTGCTGAACGAGCAGCACCGGACGGTGAAGGAGCAGCTGGAGCAGCTGAGGATGAAAAAGTCCTCCCTCAAACCACCCCAGGAGGCTGAAAAATCAAAACCCCCAAGCGAGAAGCCCCTGCAGAGCCTTGTCCTGGACAGTGCCCAGAGGAAGAGGCTCCAGCAGCAAATGCAGCAGGTAATTAATTAAATGTGAGGTGGTCTGAGCTGATGAACCTTTGCTGGGGGCCCTGGGAGCCCAGGGCACAGCAAGGCTTTGCTTCCTTAAAGGAATTCCTTGGAAAAGCTGCATCTGGCTGTTGTTGGGGATTGATTGCACATGGAAGGACAATTGGAATTGAGTGTGTGAATCAGAGCTGCTTTCTGGGCATCTCTTCTCACATTGGCCACCTTGGAATCCTGGCTCTGATCTGTCCAAATCCTCTGCTTTCATCACCTTCTTTAGCACTGTCTGTCCAAATCCTCTCTTTTCAACACCTTCTTTATCACTGTCTGTCCAAATCCTCTCTTTTCAACACCTTCTGAGAATGTTATTCCTGATCTGATTTAGATTCTTCTTTTTTCCCCCCCTCCCACCACAAAAAAACTGTAAAACTTCAGAAATGGGCAGTTCTGAGAGATGAAGTTGCTGAAGAAATAGAGATGTGTTTATTTAGGGGAAAAAAAAAAAGTCCCCTCTGTGTGGGTTGTTTTGGTTGTGAGGTTTTGGCACAAAAGCTGGGAGACTGCCCCGAGATCACACAGACAGTGGGTTCAAAATCCGTGTGTTAAACTTCCTGCCAGTGGGTGTCAAACTGTCCCCTCAGTTTTCTGTTGTTCAGAGGGTGTTTTTGCAGACAGGGCTTTTTGGGGTGCTCTCTCGTGCCTCTGGACTTGTGCTTTTCAAGTTTTTTGATTTCTGATACGCTGAAAAAAACCCAGCTTTGTGTGATTTTTCTTCTTTTATTCTTCCAGCACGTTCAGCTCCTGACCCAAATCCATCTCCTGGCCAGCTGCAACCCTGCCCTGAGCTCCGAGGCCAGCACCACCAGGATGTTTTTGGTGAGGATGTGCCTGAAATCAGAGCTGCAGGAGCTCCAGTACCTCGTTGGGATGAGCACTGGAGACGTTTGGAGGGATTCATTTGTTTGGTTAATCCCGTCAAACTGAGAGAGGAGCCTTGGAAAGGTTCCAGGGAGTGGGGGGGGAGTTACAAACAAATAAAAGTCCTGGAATGGTTTGGGTTGGGAGGGACCTTAAAGACCGTCCAATCCCAACCCTCTGGAATGGGCAGGGGCACCTTCCACAGGAGCCTTGGGCACTTCCAGGGATGGAATAACCTGGGCCAGGGCCTCGCCTCCCTCTGGTCCTGCTCAGAAATAAGGATTTAATGCTGTTTTTTTTGCATTTGTTCCCTGCCTTCCCCACGGAGGGCAGGTCTGTGACCCCTCTGTGTGTCCTGTGACCCACCTGTCTGTGTGTCCTGTCACCTGTCTGTGTGTCCTGTCACCTGTCTGTGTGTCCTCTGCCCTGTCTGTGTGTCCTCTGCCCTGTCTGTGTGTCCTGTCACCTGTCTGTGTGTCCTCTGCCCTGTCTGTGTGTCCTCTGCCCTGTCTGTGTGTCCTCTGCTTTGTCTGTGTGTCCTCTGCCTTGTCTGTGTGTCCTCTGACCCATTTGTCTGTGTGTCCTCTGACCCATCTGTCTGTGTGTCCTCTGACCCATCTGTCTGTGTGTCCTCTGCCTTGTCTGTGTGTCCTCTGACCTGTCTGTGTGTCCTCTGCCCTGTCTCTGTGTCCTCTGACCCATCTGTCTGTGTGTCCTCTGCCCTGTCTGTGTGTCCCCTGCCCTGTCTGTGTGTCCCCTGCCCTGTCTGTGTGTCCCCTGCCCTGTCTGTGTGTCCCCTGCCCT